GCACGCACATGCATCTCAAAGAAACATGAGAAATAATGGCGCATAGATGCACACCTCCCATTCTCTCATCTTCAGAAGTCATTTTTAATTGGACAAAGCTTGTAAATTTTCTCAATTTCCAGAAGAATTTTTATGTGCAACTCATACAATTTCCAACCAATTTGTTGATGGACATGGACACAAGTGCCACATTGACACCATTATGATTGATGAGTAGATGTAAAAACTAAGCTTATGTGATGAGGAAGAACGCTTCAAGCCACAGATCAATTGGGGAAGGAGGCAAATGGAATTAACCGGCATTTAAATGGTGAAGGGACGATGCCGTCTCATTTTGTATTTTATATTGTTATGGAAGAATACGTTTTCGTTATAGAGCCATGCCATTTACTTAGCAGAGGGAGGGAAAAAATGGAAGCCAGTTGGAAATTGTTTAGAAATTGTACCTCTTCCTTCTTCCCCAATTCTCTGCTATCTCCCTCCTTTCTTCTTTACTATAATCATGTTTTGTTAATATAATCACAGCTTGGGTTGTTAAATCCCAGCTGGTTATCTTCAATTGCAAGTTATTTGTGGTAAATTTTGGTTGGTTTTGGTAATTTGGTTGAGGTTCAGATCAACCATTACAGTTTACTGAAAAGTGGAACCTTGGCCAAGTTTTTGATGGCAAAAATACTTTACCCATAAAGTGATGGTGATTTAATGAATACCATGTGTTCATTTCGATGGATAAGATATCTGCTCTTACCCTACGAGCGTGGTTGGATGTGGTCCAAAAGATGCTGCCTTTTAGCTTCAAGTTCCTTCAAATTGTTACGGACAATTTGAACTTTCTCTGTTAAATGATCATTATGGTTTTCAACATCTTTCATGAGAGTAAGTAGCTGATCTCGATATGAAGCACTTAACCGTTTCTTCACTCGGAGTTCTGCGGTTAGTTCTTGAATCTTCTTATCTTTCTCATCCTACAAAAATAACATGATCTGATTGATTAAAATGATGTTGGACAAGTTATTAATAGATAATGGAATTTCATGCCCATGCAAAAAAGCCAAGAAAATACATTGTCCTTGACATTCTAGAAGCTGTCCTAAAAATACAAATGAGATAATAAATAATAAAATGCATGTGTGATTGCCTAAGGGAAAATAATTTTAAATCGCAATGAATGTGACCAGATATTTACACAAGAATCTCTCAGTAAACAGTCTAGTCTATTGCTCGCTTAATTGAAAAAAAGAAAGACAGTGAATGCAGTACCACTTGTCTCCTTGTTTGACCTTAGAAATAAGATCTGGTTTTCTTTCTCCCAGTCAACCCAACGTTTCCAAGCAGCTCTCTTTATATTCTTGATACGAAATGCAGTTAATAAAACTAGTGTTATTATTGTAGGATCTAATTAAATACCGTCATCACCACTTATTGCAGGAAAGTGCACTCTGTGACTAATTAATGGCCTCACATCTGATTAAAAAGTAATTCAAAACACTCAGGCATGCCATACTATAATAGGTAAAAGAGAGCTTAATGAATAATCATACATGCTTGGGGCCAGCCACTTTTATACCTAAGTCAAGTTCTTTACAAACAAGAGTATGTAGCCAACCAATGAGGGAGCTGGAATCTTTAAATGCTAGATTTAAGATTTTTTTAAAGAAATTGGGAGTTGCCTCTTCATCTTCTTAAAAGCAAAGAGTCTTTGATTCTCTCTTACCTTTGAAAACTTATTAACTCGTATTTAAAACTAATATAGCAGTCCAAACGTAATTAATTAATCCATTAATTGAGATTACGTATGCATTTAAAATGTGTTTATATGCCATAAACCACCTCCCACAGTACTAGAGTAGAAGAAAACTTTGCAGTACAGAAATCCATCTCCAGATGCATAAGCCTTAGATGTTGAGTTTATTAATTTGTGCCTCATTTTGTGCCGCGTATTCATTTTCCGTTTTATTTTGCATCCTTTTTACTTTTTCTTGCTATTTATAACTTCCTCCATAGCCTCTAATGGGACTACAGGAGTAATTAATCTATACATGTTATTGTCTTGCATAACATACACTTTCAAGTTTCACCAAGAACCCTCATGCCTTAGTTTATTCAATAAACAAAATGAACAGGTAAAATATTATATGTAGACATGTGTGTTAGATTATTACTTGATATACTCAAAATTGAGATGAAGACTCTTCAAGGACTGAAAAGGGATACAAACATAAATATGACGTACAGACAGAAACACATCGACAGGAGGAGGAAGAGGACGAACCTTACAGATAGTTAAACACTTAAACGGAACTGACAATTATCAGAAGGTATGAAACTTACAAAAGTTGGACGCTTCTTAGACAGTGAAATCACCAAGGGATGATTATGGTCCCTCACAAATTTCCGAACAATCCATCTCCCTGGCTTGTCTCTCTTAACTACAATCATCGC